GATCTGCCACGCCGGTTCGGCCGTGCGGCTGCTGCCGGTTCGTTGCCGGCTGCCCGCTGGTTTGTCCGGCCAGAAGGGCTGTCCCGGTCTCGATGGAGTGCAGTCGTTGACGTTCTAGGAGCAGCAACGCCGACCGGACTTGGAGAAAGTTGGGTTGGGGCTGTTGAAATTGCATCCAGAATGTTTGTGCTTGGAGATTGTCCGGTAGACCTCGCAATAGTTGGAGCACGAGCTGCGATTCGGAGACCGGGGCATCGACATCATCTAGCCAATCAGCTATGTTGCGTAGGGTTTGACAATAAGTAGCCATGGGCATGGATCCCTTGACCGTGGTGCGAAATTGATGTTCCAATTGCATCGCCCGAGCATGTTTATTGTCATGGAAGAGATCATGAATAACCTGCCAAAGCTCGGAGGCCGTAGAAGTAGAGGAGATGACCAAGTCGGAGACCTCATCGGTCACCGTGGAGAGAATCCAACCTTGAAGCAAGGCATCCAGTTGAAACCACTCGTCGTCGGCGGCGGATGAGGGGGTCCTGGATCCGGAGAGAAAGCCATGAAGATTGAATCGTCGAACAAGAAGCAAGAAGAGACGGCACCATTTTTTGTAGTTTGGTTGAGAAAAGCTCAATTGTATGGGAACATGGAGCTTGGCGTTGGATATTGCCGTAAATGCCAAGTGGGGAGAATTGGAGGAGGATGATGAAGAAGAGGATTTGTCCGTTGTTTTGTCGGAGTTATCCATGGGAGGAGGAGAGATCAAGGGTTGAATGGTGAGGAGGTGGCCTGCGGCACCCTTACTGCCGAGAGAGGCAGTGACGTGAGAGAGAGAGCGAGAGCCGAGAGCAGGAGAGGAAAAATTAGGTTTTTGGAATAGGCTCCGATACCATGAAGAATGAATATTTTCGATTAATTAATTGTGTAGGAGTACAACCATATTTATATACAAGATGAGACTCCTAATCATGGTAGGAGTATAATTAAGGAAACCTATACAAAAGGTAACTACCAATAATACAATGATATAATAATAAATACATTAAATATACTTAACATAAATATATATTAAGTGTATTTAACAATTTCTTCTAGCTAATGATATGAATTTCTCTTTAAAATATTACTCATTTTAACTTTTTCTTGATGAATAAATGATTGAGATTTATGAATTGTAGGTCCAGTTATCTCGAGCTCAAATAGAATTTTTGGTGGACAAAGTGGTAAAAGATTACCCTCATGAACTACAAAAGTATCGATCTCCAGCAAAAAGCGAATTTGTTCTTTTGTTCTTAGAGGGAGTGGTAAAAATTGAAATTAAATTAAAAGTTTGAAATTTTTGTTTATCTTTTTATTCTTCTAGAAGATCTTATATGTGTCAGTGTGTGTTTAATATTGCAGGCTACTGGTTTGTGCAAGAACAGGGCAGATCCAGATCTGTTAAACACAGTACTACGAGAAAAGCTAGACAAATCTATACTTGTAAGTGCATTTTATTGTGTGTGTGTGTGCATATATATGTTTCATAAGAGTCTTCATGTTCATGCAATTTTTGTTCCTCTACCCATCCTACTGGAATCAGCTTCCTCCCTTCAAGAATTTTTGCCCTGCTTCGAGTAACTATATGTGATGGAGAATATGTTTTTCTAAGTAGCTGTGGTATACATGCCGTAGGGTAATAATAGCCTCGGTCATGGGACTCCCGGTAGCAATAATAGCCTCGGTCGAGGCACTAGTCCAACGACAGGCACCTATCCAGATCTGTTAAACACTTTTTTGCATAAATTTCATAGTGTTAAACTTATTTAAACAACTAAGTGGGACTATAACTTTCATGTCCCTGACCCCAATTAATTGGGACTAAGGTGATAATGATATCATGATACTACATGATCTAGAGCTCTAATTTTCGTCTTCAATAATGCAGAATAAGAAAATATAGGATAGAGTTTTATCTAGCTGGCTGCCTTTCACTATTTTGCATGTCTTTTTATACTTAGGTATCACTTTTTTTGCATAATTCTTATATGATAGAGATTTAATTCAAAGTTTTTTGGACTTTGCAGGTGTCGAACAAAGATAATAACACAAGAAAAGATGGTAAAGCTTTTTTATAAACTGAAGTCAGGCTTATGCATATGAGAGCAGAAGTAGATTAATTTATAAACTGAAGTCAGGCTTATGCATGAGTGATTCCGCACCAGTTTGAATACAAAGTGAAGATCTACATTGTGCAGTGGTTGGAGGACATATCATAGAATACTGAATATAAATTGCATTCCTTTTTAATTTTGAACTCATTTGTTTTTACTCTAGATTTTTCATATACCTACTACTATACCCATGGAGGTACTTATAATTTGATGATGGCATAGCTTTTTATATGCAAGAAGTTAATTTAATTTAAACTTTGATTGTCTTGATTTTTAATTTATATGTATGTATGTATGTATATATATATATATATACATATATTACGAATCTTTAAAATATTTGAAAAATACCGTCAAAAACGATGTTTAAAAATTAGTTACAGAGTTGTGATTAGCCACACATCTTTGTGTGCATATTATATTTATTTATTTTTTTCAAGCAAATAAAAATTGCCGCATTTACATGTGCGGTGCGTTGGAAACACATAAATGTCGCAAAAGACAAGATTAGCAACACTTACAAGTGTGCTTACCGTATTCATTTTGCCACACTTATTATGTGTCGCAAAATTTTCCCCACACTTTTAGCCGCCACACTTAGCTCATGTGTGGCGAACACTTTTTGCCACACTTATATATGTTGCGAAGAGCAATTTTAAGTGTGGCGAAAGACATAATTTCTTGTAGTGGATGATTATGACTATTTACTTGAATTTTAACAATTTGGGGAACGCTTAGGATCTTTACATAATAATAATGAACATGATCAAGATGAGTTTTTAAAAGGGGAAGAAGCTAGAGTTTTAGCATTGAGAGAGAATTTGAGCACACAAAGGTATTATCTTTATTAATTTCTTTATAATCTGATGCACTCATTTTCCTTAATGAATTAAATGATTTCATTTGTGTTCTCTTCCATTTATTTTTTTTAATTATTTGAATGAACAGAAAGAGATGTAAAACATCACATAACGAAACCTATACTACAAACTTATGGTCATATGCATAAATTTCACTCCCTCACTTTATCTAATTATAATCATATAGTTTTACAAAAGTGTCATTAAAATTATCTTATATGTATTGCTTTAAAAATCAAACAAGAACATATATATTTAGATTGATTAAGTTATTTTTTTTGTTCTAGGTTGATGCCAATTCTCTATCTTCCTTGCAAGAGATTTGGACTTTAGAAAGATGCAAGTCGAGAGAGGTATCAAGCGAAAAGAGATGTTGCTAAGCAACCCAACGATGTACTACATTTTAAATGTGTAATGTTAGAGTGATACTAAATTCTTTGGTAGATATTACTATGTCTCTTATATTGATATTAATTATGCATGGAGTATAAGAAGTCTTAAATTTTTGTAATGAAGTTAGTATACACACAAAAAAATTTAGTGACTCATTTATTCATTTAATATTTCATTTATTATAAATATCAAATTTTGTTAACATATTTTACGTGTGATTGAACGAGTCCGTGCGTAGCACGGGGTAGAAACTAGTGGTTAATATAATAAGGAGTACATGTTAATTTTGTGACAATAATTAAGTACGGTATAAATTGTTGATACAAAGTACTGTATTATTTTGTTGAGTAAATTCCATAAAAAGTCCCTAGTTATAGGTTCATTTACATATTTAATTCCTACATATAAAATATTATTATCATACCCAATTATTATATCATTTTTCACGAATGATTCTTTGTTAACGTTTTTGTTAGGGAACATTGATAAAATTGTATATCTATACTTCTCTCTCTTCAATTAAGCTTATTTCCACCTCTCGTACTCTTTCCCAAACTTGTCGCTGAGTTTGAAGTTCTAAACCTAAAACTGAAATGATTATTCTTCTCTTAATTATTATTCTTTTTGGTGGAACCTAAAATAAAAATCAATAAACTTTATGGATGAGTTTTATCGGTTAGTCTTAAGAAATTGCAAAGAAAATAAACATTAAAACTCATAATGAAGATAACTGATTTCGAATTTGGGTTCCACCAGTTAGACAAATAATTGAGAGAAGAGTGATAATTTTGGTTTTGGATTCAAAGCTTCAAACTCAGCGACGAGTTTGGGAAAAAAGTGTGAATTTACAATTTTATCTACGTTCTTAACGGAAATGTTAACAAAAGACCATTTGTGGAAATGAATATAATAATAATTGGGGACTAAATTAGTAATATTTGATATGTATGGACTAAATATGTAAAACGATCTATAACTGGAGACCTTTTATACAATTTACTTTATTTTGTTAAAATGTTTGTTGGAACAGATTAATATTTGTTGTTGTTCAAAAAAATTATAATGGAATATTCATTCAATATGTATTATACGTATGATCTCAAAATACGTGTATTTTAAAGTATTTTTAGAAATCATACACATACGTAAGTATCATACGCATATTAACTAACTAGGCTCCCATTAAACACTTGGATATTAATATATATATATATATATATTGTAATCCCGTATCATTATCATTCAAGGAATCAATAGTCAAGAATTTCCATATTGAGCACAATATGTGAAACACTAATGCTTGATCCCTCTGGTTGAAGAGGTTGAAAATCTTTTCTAGCCAAGCGATGAATCCGTTGACATGGGGCGTGTACCAGCCCAAGATAGAGATTGTCCACACCTGTCATGCAAAGCTACAAGAAACAAAGAGATGCAACACCGTCTCCTCGGAGCATTGGCACAACGGGCATATATTTGAATCGACATCCCTTTACGTGCAAGATTATCTAGCACCAGCATTATGTTATTTGCAGCCCGCCAGATGAGATTACGAATAGTAGGTGTGGTGTGGACTTGCCAGAGTTTCCTCCACACTGATTTCGAGCTGCTGTCATTGACCACACTCTCATCCCATGTTAGCATACGATATGCACTCTTAACCGAAATGACAGAGTTTGGCGGGGTAAAAACTCGACCCCTATAAGTACGTGGCTAAAAGTTAAAGCTCATTTTGAGGAGTGGTGGTCATTAGCTTCGCCAATAGCAAGAACGCCAGTGGGGGTCACAGGAAGTTCATGGTCAAGACCACGTGATGGATTTGCTAAGGTTAATATTGATGCATCTACAGGCTTGGTTGACGATATGATGGGAGTGGGTTTCATCGCTCGCAATGACCTTGGAGTTTTTTTGGCGGCTAAAAATAAATCTTTTAGGGGAAGCTACGGTCCCAGGGAGGCAGAGGCGGTGGCAGTTAAAGAGGCCCTTAGTAGGATCAAATTAAAAGGTTGGATGCATGTAGAGATCGAAACCGATTGTAAGGAGGTTGTGGATGCACTGAATAACTCTTCTGATGATTGGTCTTATTTCTCTTCGATTATTACTGATTGTAAATCCCTATTATGCAATGGGATTTTTCATTTTCACTTTGTATATCGCTCTGCTAATGAGGCGGCGCATATACTAGCGCGGGCTTCTCATTCACCTCAGAGCAGGGGAGAATGGAACATTTCTCCCCCTGACTTCATCATTTCATTAATATAATTTTATTCCCTTTGCTTCAAAAAAAATCAAGAATTTCCTTATTATCTCGCCTCTCTTTTTTTGGAGTTCGGAAACGCTCGAAGTTTTTCTTCTCTCTTTGCCTCCCTTTCTTGGAGTACGAAGACACTCGAATTTCTTCCCCATCTGATACGAGATTCGTATCAATTGGTTCTCTTGTTGATCATGAAAATAGATTAGTTATATTATTTATTACTTGGTCCGTCTATGAGTGTTTGTCAACTTTTGACTTTTGGAACTGTTCATCTAAGCACTTTGACTCATCAAATTCTCTCAATGCGTAAGCCTAAAAATAGTCATGTGCGATCTTGTTTGATTCATCTTAACATATAGATTATTAATATATAATTTTTATAATTTTTTAATATACAAATTATAAGATAAAATGGATTAAAGAACTGCATTGGATGGTATGCAAAAATGAAAGTGGACAAACACTCAGGGACAGAGGGAGTAATTAGTATTCTTTATTATTATAGTGTTAATCATGTTTAGGGTTTAGTACGGGCTCAAGCCCATTAGGTCCACTAGCTTTACTATCTATATATTGTAATCCTTCCCCGATATTCAATCAAGCAATAAAGAATAATCAAAATCCTAATCCACTTCTCTATTCTCTTGGAGCTCGGAAGCGCTCGAAGTTTTTCATCTTTCTCTACCTCTTCTTCTTGGAGCTTAAAGAATGCTCGAAGTTCTTCCCTATCCGATACGATAATCGTATCAGATTAGCATCATGAGGGATAACATGACAATGCAAACTATTATCTTCCATTCTTCTGACCTCATTTCAAACATATTTTGGGAATTTAAGCCCCGTATGTAACCAAGCAATTTTGTCTGTTCGCCTTTTTGCAAACAATTTAACTAATCTCTCATACATTGTCTTCACGATAGCATACACCAGAAGAGAACGACATCCCTTTAATACTTGATTGAAGTTTTCTGAAAGATTAGTGGTTAGTATTCCACACCAAGACCCACCATCGTAGTTTAGTGCCCACTTATCTAATGGTAAAGCCATCAACAAATCATTTGCTTCTACCTGCCGTGTCTGAATCTTTTGCATTGTTCGATAAAATTCGTAAACATCTGGGGTACTCGCTGCATGATACATCAAAGCCTTAAGCTTCTTGCTATTGAATTTTTTTCTAGAAATTGCTTCTGAGGAGTCGCAAGCAGTATCTACGTGTTACACGTTGTTCTCCTAGTTCAGGGATTGTATTGAAAGCTACATCAATCCCCCCGTGCCTATTAGAAATGATGCAAACAGGCATATGAATGGGTACTACATGATGCATTAAATGCATCATGAACCAACTTCAACTATCCTCATTTTCTTTATCAACTAGGGAGTAAGCTAATGGAAAAATCTCATGATTTGGCGTCAATGCTACTACTATTAACAGAGACAACAAGAAAACAGAAGTTAAACCCGTCAATGGATGCCTTAAAAGTCTAAAAAACATACATGAATTGAAATGTTTGAGGTGACGTTGTGGGCAACATTTGAATCTCTGTCACTGATCCGGGAATGCTTTGCATGAGCACAGCTAGCAGAGGCAATAATTTGTTGTTACACAAAAAGTATACACCAACATTTTGAT